GTCATTCTCTATAGGTATTGAAGATACACAAGTTTTCAGTCCACAGATGGTTTCGGTATAAAGGAGGTTCTATATATAGGTGGTCACTAAACACAGATAGACTATATATACGGTTGGTCACTTAATACAGGTAGTCAGTATACTCAAGTGGTCACTCTACAGATGGTTTCTATATACAGGTGTCCATATACAAGTCATTTCTGCATACAGGTTACTAAATATAGGTTTTCAGTATACACAAGTGGTCCGCAGACAGATGGTCTCATTATACAAGGGGTCTTTATGTAAGCTGGCCTCTATATACAGGTAGTCAATGTAAAAGGTTGTTGTTATCTACAGATAGTCATAGTATATAAAGGGTCTCTCTATATATATAGATAGATAGTGTCTACATATTTTTGGTCTCTGTATACTGGTGGCCTATTTAAACAAATGACCTTTACATACAGGTGGACTCCATATACCAAGTCATAGTATACAGGTTGTCACTGTCAAAAAGTGGTCTTTGTATAGAGGTTACCTCTAAACACAAGTGATTATATAGATATTTTTTTAAGTTTAGTGTCCTGTATATACAGTAAGTCTCTATCTATAGGTTGCTTCAGTACAGAGCTGGTCTATTATAAACAGGTTGAACTGTACACACAGGTAGCTTGTCTAAACCAATGGTCTTTATATACAGGTAATTTTCAAGGTTTAATTTTGTGATGAATATTAACACATCAGCGATATAACTAAGAGTATAAATCCATCCATTTGCAACAATTAGTTATTGATGTGAGTCATAAGTTATTGCTGTGATGTCTAAATATGGTTATATAACAATATTCCTAAACAATACATGTAAATACACTACCATTCATTCCGTAATTACAACAAATCACTAGAAACATTTTGGTTCCCATGAGTCCCATTAACTCATTACAGAACTTTGATAAGCCATCAACATCACATCAAACATCAATGTTCCCAGTGATCTACATGACACGGCCACGGAAATCACAGTATCGGGTGCTACACAACTTTATTAATATTTATTTAATATCACATAAACGTCATGTTCACAGAAGGATTTGTTTCCTTAATCTCTTCACAAACAAAAGTAAATCTTTTTCCTGTCTTTAATCATTTTGATTCCTAAAGCATCTATGTATCAGATTTTTACTGAATTTATATAACATTAAATATCTCTCTATCCAAATCAACTGAAGTGACAAGCTGTCTTGTGCTAAGAAAGTGGTGTCATTGGTTGAGAAACATTACCTAAATAGCTCTAGACAGCATATGAAGGACCTCCCATATAATGTTCATTGAGGTAGCCAACATTTACCCCACATCAAAATGACCCTGACAATTCACAGTGCAACAAAATAAGCCTTTCTTTGTTGAAATGTTGTACAATTTTTACTTAACCATCACCTATAAATACATGGGCTTCTGTTCCCTGAAACAATAGAATGATTAACTTATTGGCTAAATTGACCAATCACAGTACATTATATCATTTATTTCATTCACATCCAAAAATACTTGAAAAATTGACCAATCAAAGCATGTCATTTATAAAACAAATAAAAAATTTCCTTTTATCAGATTTATGGAACAATCACCGCAAAAATGATTATGCAGTTCAGGAAAATATCCTCAAGATGAATATATTTCAATTTTCTTTAATTTCAAAGAGCTGGATGGATAATTAAGATTGTTCATATGTCAACACACAGCGTCCTGTCCACGGAAGCTGAACCATGTCATCTATTGTATTCATGACAGCAGACAACATTCAAAGAAAACATTTCATGAATATGTTAAAAAATATTGATGAATTCAATTTCCTTTAATCAACATTATAGTAAATAATGATTTCCCCCTCCAACAGCCTTCCGCATACAGAATTAATTCTTTAATAAAAAAATATGAAATCGACAACTAAAATCAATTTCTAACACAGAGTGAACTTTTTCAAAATATTATTTTTTATATGAAACAAAAACTAAACTTCCACAATTCAGTCTTTTCGGGCACCATACTTGCAAATCAGACAAGGAAATTCATCCTTAACTTCAGCGGACATCAGTAATCACAGAATATATTTTCAACAACATTATTTTTCATGTTCTTCGTCTCCTACACTTATTATTCACCCTGTAATAAGCCCAGGGAACAAGTAGGTTACCTCAAGCTCGAAAGTATTGGGGTGGGCTTATTAAAGGACTTGATATAGTATTTTTTGGGAACTCTACTAGCGGGCTTATTACCAAGCACGGGCTTATTACCAGGTATATTTATATGGTACTAAATGATTAACTGGCAATTTTTTGTCAATATATCTACATATTAACACAGTTGCTTTAAAAAAAATCACAGTTAAATTACAGCATGTTTAATCAATTCATCTCAAGCACCAAACTCTGTATAGATTTTTGGGAGGAAGTTTGGCTCAACTTACCACAATGACTTCGGATCGCAATTGCGGAAACCCTACTTCCCATGATTATTGGACCACGACCATGATCTGCCAAAACTCATTTATGATAAACTTATGAACCTGTGGTTTGATTGGCTGGTATTGATTTTCATCTGTGGCTAGTATCAATCATCTATAGAGACACTTAAGGGCCGAGAAGATTTACATTCTTAATTAACATACAAGAAAACTAGTATTGATCTTTAAAACAAATATAAAACGTCAATAAAATTAATTTATTTATGGATCCATAAAGATAAATGTCACAATTTATGTTAAATCCATGAAATTAATATCATTATGAACAATTAATTTATTTCTCTATTTTATTATCCAATAGGATAAACAACACAAAATACTAAAATGTATTTCACAGCGACAGAGGCATCGCGAATGATTTATTAAACAAACATGTAAATCATACACTAATCTGTTACAAATACACAATATACAATGTATGTATATATATATGTCACTCCTTTCATTAATAACTATTACATTTTACCGCAACAGAAACCCCGCACAGATGAACTTCTATTACATTTTACCGCAAAAAAATAAAAAAAATCTCCACCTACGTGCGCCCCTACCTGTGTCGCCTGAATGACACATACAGGTAACACGCGACAGTACGGCCCTAGTCTTGATTTGCACGTGCAAATCATACACATAGCGCCCCCTATTATATAACTTTTTTATATCGAAACTTAAGTATACATATCCAACGCCCACATCTGTCATTATATCTCTTTTACCACGGATTCAAATAATCTCGCAAACCTTGACCAATGACTCGCATACAAAATTTCTTATAGGTCACATCTTCTAAAACACAAACTTTATCTATATTGTATTGGTTGTGAAATTCCTGTGGTTTTAATCGTGATATCATAACTTCATTGCGAATAAGACTTTAACTGAATTATGATTTTAATACTTTGTGAATAAGCTTTGAGATTCAAACTGTTTTTATTATATCCAAATCTCAACTACAGAGAGAGTTGTTTTCATCAATATTTAAAATAAATCTTAACCCTATGTGAAATGTCAAGATTTAATCAATGAAATGTTCTTGACTTAATTCTTTTGTAAATATTTTTGGAAACTCGATATAAAAATCCTACATCATATCTATAGATATATTTCCATATTATAAGAGTATTCTCGATAATTTTTGCTCTATATTGTAAAACTGTAGCCTGGGAATGATATATACGCCACTCTCTATAACATATAATCGTAATAAGAAAAGTATGTCACAAGCCTAATAATCTGAATGCGAGATCAAATAAAGTATAATCGTGAGTATAGCCCTCTCCGGAAACATAAGATTGCGACAAGGCAAACAGTTCAATTATCTCATTAATGTAGATCAATACCGCTTACGTCCCTAGACAAATAAAGGTTTGACCTGTCAGGCCATGGCACTGCCATTTCCACGCTTAATTATTGTTTGATTTTTTTGTTTCAATACACGCAGCAGAGGCAATGATGCAGTACTGCTCTCTTTTCATTGATCTCTGTAAGTAAAGTGAGAATAATGAAGGTTATATGAAAAAAGAAAATTCATTACGTTCGGAAATGACACTTGTTACTTTTGGTTCACACTAGCAACGGATGGACACCCACGGCTAGATGTGTTCACAAAATGATCCCAGCATCCTCAATGTATTCTAAAAATAGAGCTATTCCATTTTATGTGTTTTTTGAAGTACTCATTCTAATGTACATTTGCCATACAAACAAAAACAAATTTTTTTTCATTTCAAAATATATTTTTGATTGGTATTAACTTTTTCCTTCCATCTCTCTTTTTTTATCATCTAAATATTTGCAAACAGACATTTTTCCTCTAATAGGGCAATGAACACTATGATTTGCAATTCCAGCCAGGTCAGTTCAATAAGTGTAGTTTGGGTGGGGGAGGGGCAAAGGAGGGGCCAGGGAGGGGCTGGGGAGGAGGTAACAGAGATGTGGACACTTTTGGTTTGAATAATAGTAGACCGGAAAGGAAATTTAGGCCTGGGGTTATAAAGAGCTGATATATAGGTAAATGTAATATGTGGACTGACATCAACATGGAGAATGTACTTACTGACATGGAGAATATACCTTCTGACATGGAGAATGTACTTTCTGATTTGGCGAATGTACCCTCTGATATGGTGAATGTCTGATATGGAGAATGTACCTTCTGATATGGAGAATTTACCTTCTGATATGGAGAATGTACCTTCTGATATGGAGAATGTACCTTCTGACATGGAGAATGTACCTTCTGACATGGAGAATGTACCTTCTGACATGGAGAATGTACCTTCTGACATGGAGAATGTACCTTCTGATATGGAGAATGTACCTTCTGACATGGAGAAACTACCTTGTGATATGGAGAATGTACCTTCTGATATGGAGAATGTACCTACTGACTTGGAGAATGTATCTTCTGACATGGAGAATGTACCTTCTGATTTGGCGAATGTACCCTCTGACTGAATTTACCTTCTGATATGGAGAATGTACCCTGTCTGATATGGAGAATGTACCTTCTGATATGGAGAATTTACCTTCTGATATGGAGAATGTACCTACTGATATGGAGAACGTAACTTCTGACATGGAGAATTTACCTTCTGACATGGAGAATGTACCTTCTGATATGGAGAATGTACCTTCTGATATGGAGAATGTACCTTCTGACATGGAGAATGTACCTTCTGACATGGAGAATGTACCTTCTGACATGGAGAATGTACCTTCTGATATGGAGAATTTACCTTCTGATATGGAGAATGTACCTACTGATATGGAGAATGTACCTTCTGATATGGAGAATGTACCTACTGATATGGAGAATGTACCTTCTGATATGGAGAATGTACCTTCTGATATGGAGAATGTACCTTCTGATATGGAGAATGTACCTTCTGACATGGAGAATGTTCCTTCTGATATGAAGAATGTTCCTTCTGATATGGAGAATGTACCTTCTGATATGGAGAATGTACCTTCTGATATGGAGAATGTACCTTCTGACATGGAGAATGTTCCTTCTGATATGAAGAATGTTCCTTCTGATATGGAGAATGTACCTACTGATATGGAGAACGTAACTTCTGACATGGAGAATTTACCTTCTGACATGGAGAATGTACCTTCTGACATGGAGAATGTACCTTCTGATATGGAGAATGTACCTTCTGATATGAAGAATGTTCCTTCTGATATGGAGAATGTACCTTCTGATATGGAGAATGTACCTTCTGACATGGAGAATGTTCCTTCTGATATGAAGAATGTTCCTTCTGATATGGAGAATGTACTTCTGACATGGAGAATGATATGGAGAATGTAACTTCTGACATGGAGAATTTACCTTCTGACATGGAGAATGTACCTTCTGACATGGAGAATGTACCTTCTGATATGGAGAATGTACCTTCTGATATGAAGAATGTTCCTTCTGATATGGAGAATGTACCTTCTGATATGGAGAATGTACCTACTGATATGGAGAATGTACCTACTGATATGGAGAATGTACCTTCTGATATGGAGAATGTACCTTCTGATATGGAGAATGTACCTTCTGACATGGAGAATGTACCTTCTGACATGGAGAATGTACCTTCTGATATGGAGAATGTACCTTCTGATATGGAGAATGTACCTTCTGATATGGAGAATGTACCTTCTGATATGGAGAATTTACCTTCTGATATGGAGAATGTAACTTCTGACATGGAGAATGTACCTTCTGATATGGAGAATGTACCTTCTGATATGGAGAATGTACCTTCTGATATGGAGAATGTACCTTCTGATATGGAGAATGTACCTTCTGATATGGAGAATGTACCTTCTGACATGGAGAATGTTCCTTCTGATATGAAGAATGTTCCTTCTGATATGGAGAATGTTCCTTCTGATATGAAGAATGTTCCTTCTGATATGGAGAATGTACCTACTGATATGGAGAATGTACCTACTGATATGGAGAATGTACCTTCTGATATGAAGAATGTACCTTCTGACATGGAGAATGTACCTTCTGATATGGAGAATGTACCTTCTGACATGGAGAATGTACCTTCTGACATGGAGAATGTACCTTCTGATATGAAGAATGTTCCTTCTGATATGAAGAATGTTCCTTCTGATATGGAGAATGTACCTTCTGATATGGAGAATGTACTCTCTGATATGAAGAATGTTCCTTCTGATATGGAGAATGTACCTACTGATATGAAGAATGTTCCTTCTGTCATGGAGAATGTACCTTGTGACATGGAGAATGTACCTTCTGACATGGAGAATGTAACTTCTGATATGGAGAATGTACCTTCTGATATGGAGAATGTACCTTCTGACCTGGAGAATGTACCTTGTGACATGGAGAATGTACCTTCTGATATGGAGAATTTACCTTCTGATATGGAGAATGTACTTTTATAGAGAAAGTTCCTTCTGACATGGAGAATGTACCTTATGACATGGAGAATGTATTCTGACATGGAGAATGTAACTTCTGATATTGAAAATGTACCTTCTGACATGGAGAATGTATTCTGACATGGAGAATGTACCTTGTGACATGGAGAATGTATTCTGACATGGAGAATGTACCTTCTGACATCGAGAATGTATTCTGACATGGAGAATGTACCTTCTGATATTGAGAATGTACCTTCTGACATGGAGAATGTATTCCGACATGGAGAATGTACCTTGTGACATGGAGAATGTATTCTGACATGGAGAATGTACCTTCTGATATGAAGAATGTACCTTCTGATATGGAGAATGTACCTTCTGATATGGAGAATGTACCTTCTGACATGGAGAATGTACCCTCTGACATGGAGAATGTTTCTTCTGACATGGAGAATGTACCTTCTGATATTGAGAAGGTACCTTCTGACATGGAGAATGTACCTTCTGACATGGAGAATGTAACTTCTGACATGGAAAATGTACCTTCTGACATGGAGAATTCACCTTCTGACATGGAGAATGTACCTTCTGACATTGAGAATGTACCTTCTGACCAAATATTTAGAATGTTAGAGCAATGCAAGGTATTAGGACAACGTTATAGATTATTGAGGGATAAAATACAGAGATTAGGAAAGGTATATATTTGGTATTCCACCAAACATCAATATGGTTGTGACTGTAAAAAAGAATAAAAAAAATTACATTTACCAGGGATTCTTGTACTCATGTATAAAACTGCATCTAATACAAGAGAGAAAAATCTATTTATTATTTTTTTTTTTTTGGTCTGCGAACTACAAGGATCCACAGTGAAACATGAAAAACAACATGAAATCTACAGGTACTGATGACCTTGTGACAGAAATCGACAATGGCAATCGTCTCCGTCACATCTATTACAGAAAAGTACAGCAGGTCTGTGTGACCTACAAACTCCAGTCTCTTAAACACCACACAAGTAAGGTTTATCAATAGCCCCCTATGCTTAAAGTAGTTTGCTTTCGAAGTTTCTCTTATTGTAAGAGAAAAGAATTCTATTCTTCAGCACTATATCAGAGTAAAAACAACTGACATTAAACGAAGTACGTGCCAAGAAAAGGTTACACCACCGATATCGACTGTCTATATAAAAATATAAATCCAAACAAAATGGCTCTATGGGTAATTTTCTTATCCTACTGATCCTTAACAACAACTAGGGGAACCAAACATGGAGACTTTAACCTTTCTGACTCATCAATTTCAAAATATTTCAGCTCCCTTATTTATCATATAAGAATATAAATTCTACCGAAACATCCAATGTATATACAAAGGTTAAACCAACGCTAGCCTGGAAAATTACAAAGATATGCATGTTCATGCAGGAAAATGTTGCAACATTTTGCCACGCTTTATCATTCATCTTAAAATCGTCCAATCAGAAGTGTTTATTTCAAGTTCTGGGATATCTTGGCCAACATGTCTACTGTGTATAAGTCTTATCTTCAATATCAATGACAGAAAAACGAGACACTACATCAAACTATTTACATGATTTAGGTTTCCATCAGATCTATAAAGATGATACATTATAAAAAGAATGTTTGATATATTGCCCATCTGACCATTCAAAATTCTCCGTTCCAAATTTGAATAAACATGTTTTTTTTCAACAAGTTGAATTTTGCTGAATCAGTAAATATTTTTCATGTGTGCTACGAGCCAATCATATTGCAGTATCTATATACCAAATTATACAGCCTGATAGGTTTTCTATCTCCTGAGAGATCATATGGTTTTTCTGTACAATACATCAAAGTAATGCTGCCAGTTAGATTGTCCATTTATTGCTCTACAATATACAGTTTTGGGAATCAAATTGATCTGTAACTAATAACTCTATATGCATTCCAATAAAAAGTTATTTCTCCTACAAATCCTCCCATCTCCTCACCCCACCCCAAACCTTGACCCCTTAGCCAACTCCTACTCCTACGACATGTTCACCCTCCTGCACTTTAATTCAAACCATCACCATAACATTTTATTTTTTAGGAGTCATTTCTTTGAAAACCATTCCCTGTGCGACACGTAATATTATCCCTTTTCCTACCTCTAAATCCCCCCTACCCCAAGCCTGATCAGCAATTCTACCTCTAACCTTACCCCCACCCCATGCCTGATCATTAATTCTACCTCTAACCCCTACCCCACACTCACTCCATCCCCTAACCTGACCCATACTCCTGCCTCTAACTTTTGCCTCACACTCACCCCAACCCTAAACTTGACCCCTACTCGCAACTCTAACCCCATCTCCATACTCACTCCCATCAAACCTAACCCCCTACTCATACCTCTTACCCCACCACCATACTCACACCAACCCTTAACCTGAGCCCCTATACTCCTACCTCTAACCAACGTGTCCCCCACATGCCCCAATCCTTAACCTGACCCCTTATGACTGACCTCTAACCCCTCGCACCAACCCCTAACATCACCCAATAGATTTAATTTTATATTTCTTTAAAGATTTTACTAAACATTAGCATTTTTTTTTAAAGATGTTGATCAAACTGGTCTTATTCTCTCTTCACAGCTCAATAAAGCAATGCATATACAATACTAAACCTGAAATAATTACTTTAGATTCAACAAAGAAGTTTTCACCAAAAATAAATAGGCTATTATAGGACAATGTAATGATATTGATTTTTAATTCTAATGAACAGTAATAGATATATCTGGACTTATTATCAGACCAATTTTGTGCCTGTCAAACACAGACTTGACCAGGATTTCACTAAACACAGAGTCTCCTTACTTAAGACAAGCATTTTACAGACAAAGAACATTATTGCTCAAACACAAATGCCAACACATACAAAAGTCAAACTTGTAAGGGTCAGAAAGTATATGATTATATAAGAGCTAAGATCAGATCGAAATGACACACTAAACACTATGTGTAAGTGATTGTCAGTGTGTGCCCAAGACTGATACATAGGTGAATAATGGTGATGACAGTTAATTAGACTCAGAACAGCTAAAGTGTACCCATGTATGACCAAGACAATAAATGGACCAAGAGACGTCTCCCGGGAAATCCTTTTTGAAGAAAACGCACATCTATAATAGATGCACATGCATGAACAAACAGACAGACAATCAGAGCGTTATCGAGATGCTAACATACTCGGGTCTCATCATTCTGTTTGTTACAGAACAGCAAATCTTACAGAACTGAAACTGTCAACCATGAATACTGTATGTGAGTATGGTGATGCTATCACACCACATGCCCTTGTTGCGAGACGAAGTAGGATTCCAAAAATGACACACTGAGATTCCTATTGGGACTTGTTACTGCAAACCTTCATGTTATCTATTGACTGCAAGTGCACATGCAGGTGCAGGAGATTTCCAGATCTCTAGAGATCAGTGACAATTTGACGATCCCTCGTTTTGTCCTTAATCACCTCTTTGTCAAATGATATGTTTTGAACCCGCATAATTTTACACATTCATTGGCTAGAATGAAGTCGTAAAATCAAAACACGCTTTGAAACGTTCAAGAATGGCCAAAATATATTTGTTACCTGTAAAATTTGTTCAATATATTCAATCTCTAGGTAGCTGTGTCAAAATTACATTTCATGTTCTGCTTCATATTGAATTGAATTCTTTGTTCACGGAGCAAAAATTTCAAAAACATGAATAGACAAGTTTTCCATCTTATATTATATACATGAACATACATATTGAATGGATGTCATCCTAACATCGGAACTTACACAAGGATGAAAATCTAACAACATTTAAAAGTTTCTGAATATTTTGACTCCCCCGTTCCCATCCTCATTCTTCTTGAAGCTCCTGATCGTTCTTTGAAACAATCAGGGGAGACAACTTTACATAACCACTAACATCAGTACACCCCCTAGCTACTGGTGACAGGTAGTACTTGGTGACATTTAACTGTTTCTATCTTCATTTGCATCAGACATATCAATAGTCAACCAGGATTAATTATTTATGGAAATTGACAAGCAAACATCAAACAAACCAGATGACAATTAGTGATAAGGTTTTTATCTTGAGTCATAATCTACGGTAATTTGAAAGGTTCATCCTCAAAGGTTATCACTATTAATGGTCTCAGGGGCATTTACATAGCGTACCCTGTCACAGATATGCTGCCAACAATATGGCTTTATTTCTTTTGAAGAAGCTAATTTTAGCTCCAGCCTTAAATATTTGTAATGAATGAAGTAAGGAGTTTTGGAGGAGGGATCCCCACCAGCCATACAATAGTCTAAAAGCATTGGTAATGGGCTCAGTCTAGACTTCTGAAGGATCTCCCTGTCCTTGTCTAAAAGAATTGGTAATGGGCTCAGTCTAGACTTCTGAAGGAGCTCCCTGTCCTAGCCTACAAGTATTGGTAATGGGCTCAGTCTAGACTTCTGAAGGAGCTCCCTGTCCTAGCCTACAAGTATTGGTAATGGGCTCAGTCTAGACTCCTGAAGGAGCTCTGTCCTAGCCTTAAAGAATTGTTCAAGGACTTAAACTTCCGACAGAGTGATAGAAGCCTTAACCTAACAGTGCTAGTGAAACGTTGTTGGATGAGAAGTTCCAATTCCTTGTCTAAAAATGTTGCTGATGGACTAAGCCTTAGTTATGTAGGATCATCAGGGACCACGAACCTTAACTGTAAGCTCTTGATAGGTAGCTTCAATGTATTTTGAGAAGGAGTTTGATAGATCAACTCTTGGCTACAGCACTGGACAGATTCCCCTCCTTCTAATTTAACAGTATAGGAGATTGTTAGCTTAAAAGTGTTTGAAATATAGCTAATAGACCCAATCTTAAAGTAAAAGAGATAGTGAGCCTAGCGCCAGCTTGAAAACATTTAAACGAGAGCTTCTAGCTCTAGACATTTTGTCACCAACTTAGACGTACAAAATCAATACAGAACAAAAGTGAAGTTATTAATTAAATCATTTTTTCCCACTTAAAGCGCTGGCCCCTCGCTGTGTTGATCTATGAGGGTATGAATAGGAGACATGCTCTCAGATATTCATCAATAAGCATAGAACGTCTTACACCAACTTCTATAAAACACACAGCGCCAGAGGTATTATAATTCCTGTCTCGCTGAGAATTGCCGATCTAGCTCACATGGATGTTTTATACAACCTGCATCATGAATTAATCTATCAAGCTTTAAGTGCAGATTAAAGCAAAAGATTGAAATCTTCAATATTTTTATAATTATTGGAATCAAATCAATTCATTTTAGTCAGAATCATTGGTGTCTGGTATATGACTGATCTTGATAGTTTTTGGCTGTGAGACCATAATCCTGATACAAACTCTTGCAATTTTCTGTTAACTCCTTAATCAGTTAAATGTGTGGCTGATATGCTTTGAAAAAACTTTGACAAATGAAAATATTTGAGAAAAGAATAAATACCAGTTCTAAGCTTCCGATCAAAAATATATTGCAGGTATGAGTCAATGATGTTGTATCATTATCATTGTCTACACAAAGATGTTTCGACTACAGGATCTTGTTAAGTTGTATAAAGTAGCAGAGGGCACTGACCTAATGCCCCCTGTCAATAGATGACATTGAACCTATATTTCTGTCAGCAGACGACATCGACCTAATGCTTTTGTTGTACATACATTGAATGTAAAGAATGGTTTGTCCTTGACATTGTCTAAGGCAGCCAATCAGATCAATGATAAGTCAGCAAGATGTGGCAATGACCTTGACCTTTCTTTTCTGTCAGCCAATCAGATAACTTACATGATGCCTACCTTGACACTGTCTGGGCTGGCTAGATAACTGTATAATGTAGACAAAGAGACAGCGAAGATTTCCAACTGAACCTGTAGATAAATCGCACAAACTCTAAAAGGTTCAAACTAAATCTATCTAAGTGGTTTAGACTAGCTACCGGTCAACCTAGTATTGATGGAAAAAAACAAACGTAGCCTTTGGAATTTCTTTTTATACTGAGGATATGATTCAAAACACTCTGTGTAAAACTGAAGAGTTCTACAACATCACAGAGCTAATTTCAGGGTAGATTTGTCAGCAGGTTGTCATCAGTGGTTATTATACAGTTCAACTTTATTATCTCAAACTGGTGGGACCATGGGCAAGTATAAGAAGTTATATATCATTTTACACCTGTTGTTTCCATAAATAGATTTATTTGGAATATTTTGCTTGGAAATTTTGGAACACCTCTAACTTTGTGCTTTATGATGCTTAAAAAAAACAGCAACTTCTGCTTCTCTCCAAGGCTTTCTTCTTCAAATATGAATGAAGTGAAGGAACTGACAGACAAGATGTAAAATAGACACTACCTGACAGCAGAGTGGGACAAGTGACAGTGGGTCATATATCTGAAACTTTGGTGCAGAATGTGAAAAATTTCCTGATATAGGGGATGAATGAGCTATCACAAGATGATGAACTGCTTCTCCTCAGAAATAAATGTATTCCAATACTTTTTCAAACTTCATTAACTTGACTGTGATTGTCTTCCCTGAACCATTAGAATTTTATCATGGATGTTGATGACATTTGAAATGAATAGACCAAATTGGAAATTCTATCACCAGTCAGCATTTTTTTTATCTATTTTGGTAAAAGATGAAGTAGATAGCAGGTAGATATCGGTTGATCCATGGTTTCATTGCACCAACCAAGAAAAGTATCAATCTCTGACTTTGTCTTTGGTTGATATTTGTATTTGTTGGTGTGATAAAATCATGTATTGACCTCATTAATAGACTATGATTGTATAGAAAATAGGCCTATGTCTGGTAATAAGCCCGGGCATATTAACCTGTATATATTTATTTATCTAACAGGTTTTATGTTTACTATAATGGCTTCTCATCCTTTCAACAAATAAAAAATAGTATATAGGAAAGTGAGTGAAAAGGAAATAGTATGAAGCAATGGGAAAGAGTGGGATACAGATATGTGGGAAATAGTGGGATCAGATATGTGGGAGAGAGTGGGAAACAGATATGTGGGACAGAGTGGGATACAGATATGTGGGAAAGAGTGGGAAACAGATATGTGGGAGAGAGTGGGAAACAGAAATGTGGGAAACAGTGGGATACAGATATGTGGGACAGAGTGGGAAACAGATATGTGGGAGAGAGTGGGATAAAGATATGTGGTAGAGAGTGGGATACAGATATGTGGGAGAGAGTGGGATACAGATATGTGGGAAAGAGTGGGAAACAGATATGTGGGAGAGAGTGGGATACAGATATGTGGGAAAGAGTGGGAAACAGATATGTGGGAGAGAGTGGGAAACAGAAATGTGGGAAACAGTGGGATACAGATATGTGGGAGAGAGTGGGATACAGATATGTGGAAGAGAGTGGGTTACAGATATGTGGGAAAGAGTGGGATACAGATATGTGGAAGAGAGTGGGTTACAGAGAGTGGGAAACAGATATGTGGGAGAGAGTGGGATACAGATATGTGGTAAAGAGTGGGATACAGATATGTGGGAAAGAGTGGGATACAGATATGTGGGAAAGAGTGGGAAACAGATATGTGGGAGAGAGTGGGAAACAGAAATGTGGGAAACAGTGGGATACAGATATGTGGAAGAGAGTGGGAAACAGATATGTGGGAGAGAGTGGGAAACAGATATGTGGGAGAGAGTGGGATACAGATATGTGGGAAAGAGTGGGATACAGATATGTGGGAAAGAGTGGGAAACAGATATGTGGGAAAGAGTGGGATACAGATATGTGGGAGAAAGTGGGAAACAGATATGTGGAAGAGAGTGGGTTATAGATATGTGGGAAAGAGTGGGATACAGATATATGGAAGAGAGTGGGTTACAGATATGTGGGACAGAGTGGGATACAGATATGTAGGACAGAGTGGGATACAGATATGTGGGAAACAGTGGGAAACAGATATGTGGGAAACAGTGGGATACAGATATGTGGGAGAGAGTGGGATACAGATATGAGGTAGAGAGTGGGATACAGATATGTGGTAAAGAGTGGGATACAGATATGTGGGAAAGAGTGGGATACAGATATGTGGGAGAGGGTGGGATACAGATTAATTCAAGTTGTCACCTTCTACAAGCCTAACCTTTGGCATTACGCACTGTTGTCCATGGTCCACACCACAACCTATGGACAGTTCCCATGTTACTGCACTTTTCTGCAGAAGAGTACATCATATTAAGGGTATGAAATATTTACTTTTGTTGGATTAACAGATCGAGTAAGAATCCGACAGTGTTTTCACTCTGTACGGAGACTGACTGACACCCTGAACTAATTACTTCATACGCCAAGCCTGCAGGACAGAAGAAAAAAACTAAGATAACAGTACCGTTTGGCTTTCTGTGAACATCTTTGTGTGTGGAAGTCAATCACCATAGACCAGGTCTGTCTGGCTTACTCCGGAAACATTATGTTCCTCACAAAATATCAACAGAAAAATAATCAGTTTTCTTGTTGTACAGTAATAGGCAGTCGGATTGTAGCACCCGTTGAAGAAAAGCAGCTTAATTTCATTTAGCAACCTGACTTACTTTACCTTCTGGGTCAAGGACTGGTCCAATGTTGGGATGTTGAAATTGTTGGTGGATGGAGAAAACTGTGGAAGCGTGGAATTAGGGGAAAATGAAAGAAAGTTGTTAGTTTGTGACACTGCTGGTGTTTCTGCTTCAGTAGTACAGGAGTTACGTCAATATGTGATATGTTAGAAGGTTGAAGACAGGGTGATATGATAGAGGGTGGAGAAGGGGTGATATGATAGAGGGTGGTGGAGGGGTGATATGATAGAGGGTGGAGGAGTGGGTGATATGATAGAGGGTGGTGGAGGGGGTGATATGATAGAGGGTGGAGGAGGGAGTGATATGATAGAGGGTGGAGGAGTGGCTGGTATGATAGAGGGTGGAGGAGGGGTGATATGATAGAGGGTGGAGGAGGAAGTGGTGATATGATAGGGGGTTTGAGAGAGGGATTGGATAGGGTTAAGGAAAGATTATTATGAGTGACTGAATCTTCCATGGTCTGTGTTACAATTACCACTCAATAAGTGTACAACTTTTACACTTCACCATGCTTCCAAACCAGCTAAACAAAAAATTTTAAACTCAAATGAAATATTTGCTTCTGTGAAAAACACCATCAAGCTGTACTGAAATCGATGAAAATGTGAGGTACATTTATTGGAAAGGTGAACTCCGTGACACAGCACCATAAAACATACTCGGGCAAATCATAGTAGCTCTTTTGTCAGATAGAAACAGGTAGTATACTGCTGAATTCTTATTTTTTAATTGTTAATCAATAAAGAAATGTAGATGTGATACATTTTCTTGAACAAAAGAAATTTCCAATATTGTAGACAAATTTGGAATATACACTTTTCTATAAATTTTTATAATTAAAATCTCATATGTAGATACACACTAGATCACATGACAATCAGATGACATCATTCTGGTACCATGTTGATCAAGGTTACGTCAACACTTGTATGGCATGTTTTAGATAACACACATTAAAGTTTGATGTAAAACACTTAGATGATTATGATTTCCAGGCAGCTCTTCAATAATTAAACATACACAGACAAAATAGCATTTTATATCAATACCTGAAATGCAAATATGATAATTGGACAGATGTCAGATTATTTTCATGGTAAATATGAATGAAATCAAGATGACAGATAATTGATCATGACGTCCAGTGATATTTATTTTTCTTTCACCCAGAACGCATTTATTTCAATGCCAAATACAACCAGGTTGCTGTTTAATAGTTACGTAATTCCTTACAGAATTCTATGAATCCATAACAGAAAGACAAGGGTCTGAGCCCGTTGTGAAGATCAGAAGGGAGATCAGTCAAGGTCATCTCTAGCACTCATTCAATAATTGACTTGTGGACATAAACACTTCATGAGCACCCTCATCTTTATTGCCATAATCAGACTCGGGTTTACTTGTGTCACTTCAATGCTTGTAATGGTAGCAGAAAAATTGACAAAGAAATCAAAGTCGTGCGTGTGTTTGATGGTAATGGGTACAACCTTGACACCTATAATATCCCAACATATTAATTATAGTGCGGTTCAGTAGCCTGATAATTTTCCATTGCATCAATGGACACTGTATTGTATAGTTCTATTTTCCAATTACTATCCATCCATGTATATAATGGGTATATATTTTGGTCCTATAAATTCTATTCTTACTATATGTCAAGGGCAATCAGTTTTAATTGTATAAGGAACAATGGTGTTCTTACCTCATAAAACGTCAGAGACAACTTACGTTGTTGTGACACAAGTTTATGTCTTCTGTTCTGGTAATGGTTCCACTAACAAGTCTTTATTACAGAATGTGACCCATCAAACAAATCATTGATATATTGCCAACTGAGTCTCTGGTACACCCAAAATCTCTCTCTCTTACATATCTACATTCTCTCTAACACACCTACTTTCTCTGTGGTACAGCTACCCTGTCTATGGCACAACTACCCTCTCTCTGGCACTGCTCTATCCCTCTCTTTTTTGGCACAACTACCCTCTTTAAGGCACAACTACCCTCTCTCTGGCAAAACTACTCTCTCTCTGGCACACCTACGCTCTCTCTGGCACACCTACACTCTCTCTGGCACAACTACCCTCTTTAAGGCACAACTACCCTCTCTATGGCACAGCTACCCTCTCTCTGGCACACCTACGCTCTCTCTGGCACAACCACCCTCTTTAAGGCACAACTACCCTCTGTATGGCACAACTACGCTCTCTCTGGCACACCTACGCTCTCTCTGGCACACCTACGCTCTCTCTGGCACACCTACGCTCTCTCTGGCACACCTACACTCTCTATGGCACAACTACCCTCTCTATGGCACAGCTACCCTCTCTCTGGCACCCCTACGCTCTCTCTGGCACACCTACACTCTCTCTGGCACAACCACCCTCTTTAAGGCACAACTACCCTTTGTATGGCACAACTACCCTCTCTCTGGCACACCTACGCTCTCTCTGGCACACCTACACTCTCTCTGGCACACCTACACTCTCTCTGGCACAACCACCCTCTTTAAGGCACAACTACCCTCTGTATGGCACAACTACCCTCTCTCTGACACACCTACGCTCTCTCTGGCACACCTACACTCTCTCTGGCACAACTACCCTCTCTCTGGCACACATACGCTCTCTATGGCACAACCACCCTCTTTAAGGCACAACTACCCTCTGTATGGCACAACTACGCTCTCTCTGGCACACCTACACTCTCTCTGGCACAACCACCCTCTCTCTGGCACACATACGCTCTCTGTCTCTGGTACAACAAACCTCTTTCTGACCTACTCTCTCTATCCCTGTCTCTCTCTATCTCTCTCTGTCTTTCTTTAAGTGTTTTAGTTGAACAAATCTTGGAATATAATCATGTTACCTTATAAATAAATATCTTTTTCAGAGGACAAGATGATATTCGGTTTTCCAGATTAACACGTCTGACAGTCATGATGTAAAATTACAGGATATAATGGAGAAGTGTATATTTGTCTGGATGGTATGACAGATTTAATTTGCAAAACCCATCGTAAACAAAAAATCTTGGAAACACTTGGAAATGAACCAATTCTACAGCGTGTCGATGATCTGTGCTTTAACAATTGAACACATTCCAAATATGTAAATTATGTAACATGAATTTATGAAATGATAAAAATTCCTGATATCATTTTATTCACGTTTTAGAAAGTTCACAATCTGTATATCGATACAAACAGACAGACTTCTTGCTGCCTATAAAGGAAGCTTAACACTATTAGCACTTTTATCAAAGGCCTTGTCAGATCTCCTGCACAGGAAGACAGGTTCTAAGGGAACTCTTTAGTATTTAGAGGTGTGATATTTCAATCTTGTTAAGTGTGTCATTTCATAAAACATATTGATTTGCATACAGTTGTCATGCAACTGGCATCTTCTGAAGCAGGCAACAGCCATGAGGCTCCAGATTATGACCTGTATTATTGGGGAAAATTCTGAAGTGCAGCTTACAAGACCACAACCTTTAGAAAAGTTGTTCTTAGGCATTTGGTACACTTTCCTGGGCACCAAGAATGGTACAACTCGATGACATAACAACTGCTCCCTTGCTAGGATCCAGACATAACAACTGCTCACTCACTATGATCTAGACATAACAACTGCTCCCTTGCTAGGATCAAGATATAACAACTGCTCCCTTACTAGGATCAAGATATAACAACTGCTCCCTTACTAAGATCCAGAGATAACAACGACTCCCTTGCTAGGATCAAGATATAACAACTGCTCCCTTGCTAAATTCCAGACATAACAACTGCTCCCTTGCTAAATTCCAGACATAACAACTGCTCCCTTACTAAGATCCAGAGATAACAACTGCTCCCTTGCTAAGATCCAGAGATAACAACTGCTCCCTTGCTAAGATCCAGACATAACAACTGCTCCCTTGCTAAGATCCAGACATAACAACTGCTCCTAAGAAGACATAACAACTGCTCCCTTACTAAGATCCAGAGATAACAACTGCTCCCTTGCTAGGATCAAGATATAACAACTGCTCCCTTGCTAAGATCCAGACATAACAACTGCTCCCTTACTAAGATCCAGAGATAACAACGACTCCCTTGCTAAGATCCAGAGATAACAACGGCTCCCTTGCTAAGATCCAGACATAACAACTGCTCCCTTGCTAAATTCCAGACATAACAACTGCTCCCTTACTAAGATCCAGAGATAACAACTGCTCCCTTGCTAAGATCCAGAGATAACAACTGCTCCCTTGCTAAGATCCAGACATAACAACTGCTCCCTTGCTAAGATCCAGACATAACAACTGCTCCCTTACTAAGATCCAGACATAACAACTGCTCCCTTACTAAGATCCAGAGATAACAACTGCTCCCTTACTAAGATCCAGAGATAACAACTGCTCCCTTGCTAAGATCCAGACATAACAACTGCTCCCTTGCTAAGATCCAGACATAACAACTGCTCCCTTACTAAGATCCAGAGATAACAACGACTCCCTTGCTAAGATCCAGAGATAACAACGGCTCCCTTGCTAAGATCCAGACATAACAACTGCTCCCTTGCTAAATTCCAGACATAACAACTGCTCCCAATAACTGATTTCCAATGACTGTAGATGTCCCTAATACATTATATACAAGTTTGTACCATATCATGTAGATATTCTATTGTTGGTCTATATCCTATAGACAAGATAGTCCCTCCCCCCCCCCCCCCCACCCCACCCCCACCCCACTACCACTGTCTGAAATGGTGTTAGCTCTTCACTATCTTCACCAGTGTACTTTTACCATTGCCTCTAGCGACTCTCCTAAATTCATTTATTCCAAATATAAACATTTGATTTTATAAACTGAAAAGCCATTTACACATCATGTAAATTTCCAGATTGTTTCCTTTAAATCCAGATGTAAAAATTTTACTTTAAGCATTATTGTATAAAAGATATGATCGTCATGAATCAATCAGCATTGATCTGTTCCAGTAAAGCTTTCTAACCTCAATGTCCCAGTATCAAGCTATCTAATTCGTACTCAACACTAGATCATAACATAATATCATTGAAATGTTCCACAAAAGGGAAAACAGTGGTGTTACCAGACCCCTCCAATCCCGATATGACAGAGTTAAAATCGGTTTTGTTGGGTTCTCAACTTCCGTATTTGAAGCAAACTTTATGATTTATATTTGTAGAAATGACCATTAACCCATATGTGTAACATCTATAGTGCAAGTCATGAACTTTAACCATGGTGGGCTTATCACCAGGCATGGGCTTATTGACAAATAGATATAGTAAAAAAAATCTTAATTAGGTCCACCAAAAATATAAAGAGAAAATGAAATCTG